TGTTCGACGGCTGCGACCCTACTTTTAAGCTCATCCAATCCAAGTCCTGACTAAGCAACCTATTCAACAGGCCTTCCTTAAACCTAAAAGCTTCAGGTAAAATTATGAAGTGGGCCGTCGAGTTGAGAAAACATCATATCGAATATAAGCCTAGAACGGCTATAATAGGACAAGCATTTGCAGATTTCCTTGTCGAAATGCCCCATACTCTAGATACCATACCCGAATTGTCCTCAAAGAGGCAAGTGCAAAAGCATACTCCCACAGATCCTCGACCTTGGACTCTTTACGGTTCATCTTGTGAGGACGGGGGAGGAGCCAACATAATCCTGGCCAAACCAACCGCACCACAAGAAATCGAGGAGATAAAGGAATATGATGTGGAATACTCTTATGCCTTGCGATTTTGCTTCCTAGTCACCAACAATATATCCGAATACGAAGCAATGATCACGGGGTTGAATATGGCTCTAAGACTGGGGGTCCGAAATTTAGAAGTTTTCAGCGATTCTCAGGTAGTGGTTAAGCAAATCAATGGCAACTATTCCGTCTGCGAGGAACATTTAAGACCATATCTCGAGAAAGTCCACGAAATCAGGGGTAAGTTCGACAAATGTTCCATATCCCACATCCTCAGAATTAGCAACAAGAGAGCCGACGCCTTAAGCAAGTTAGCTTCGTCCGATTTTGCACATCTTAGTCATAAAGTTTGGGTCGAGGTGCTCCCCGAACCTAGCATTCAGCCTCGAGTATCACTCACGATCACTGAAGATGGAGATACATGGATGACACCATTTATTCAGTTTCTCGAGAACGAGACTCTCCCCAGCAATAAGTCTGCAGCTCGAGCATTAAAGTTAAAGGCGGTCAAGTAGACCTTGAAGGACAGAATCTTCTACAAGCACGTGTATCTACTACCAATGAAGGATCATGTGGTGCTCACATGGGAGCACGAGGATTGGCCAAAAAGGTCCTTCGAGCAGGTTACTTTTGGCTTACAGTTTTCAAGGACGCCTATCAATTTGTGCAAAAGTGCAATAGATGTCAGCGATTCTCTCCCATCACTTGACAGCCACGACATGAGATGGTAACTATCCAAAGCCTGCGGCCCTTCTACCAATGGGGCACTGACATCATTGGCCCTTTCCCAAAAGGGGCAGAAGGGCTACGCTGGGTTATTGTGGCAGTAATTTATTTTACTAAGTGGGTAGAACCGAAACCGTTGGCCTTGATATCTGGAAGGAAGGTGTTGAATTTTTTCTGGCAAAATGTAGTTTGCTGCTTTGGAGTGCCCAAGGTAATCGTGTTGGACAAGGGGACTCAGTTCAAGAGTGATCCTTTTAAATCATGGTGTGTTGAAATGAAAATCGAACGCCGATTTTCTGCTGTTGTTCATCCACAAGCAAACGGCCAAGCTGAATTCATAAACAGAACTATCTTGCACGGAATCAAGACTAGGTTGCAAAGCACCAAGGGGGCATTGGTCGACAAAGTATCACATGTCCTATGGGCCTATCAGACTACAACTCATTCTTTGACACACAAAACTCCTTACAGTATAGTCTACGGTATAGACGTTGTACTTCCAGTCGAGATTGGCCTCGCCAGTTCTTGAACCATCAATTTTGTCAAAGACACCAACAATGAAGATATCCTGACTAACCTTGACCTGCTCGAGGAGCGGCGAGATGCTGTTAAAGTCCAAGAAGCTAAGTACAAAGAGATCCTCAGAAAACACTACAATAAGCGAGTCAAAAGCACTGACTTTGCAGTCGGAGACCAGGTACTTAAGAAGAATGAAGCCAGTCAAGCAGAGACTCCTGGCAAGTTATCAGCAAATTGGGAAGGACCCTATCGAGTCATCCAGGCTTCCCCCTCTGGCAGTTATCGCCTGCAGACAATAGATGACACAGGAACCATCCTCCCCCGATGGTGGAACATTCAGAACCTATGCAGGTTCTATGTTTAAGTTTTTCCTGCTAAATTACTTGCTCTATGTGATTTGTTTTTTTTTATTCCTTTATATGTAATGCTAACCCGGGTCCTTGGGTAATTATTCAATAAAAGTCATTGTATATTTTTCATATTCTGAATGTGTCGACACTATCTTATGACTAGTCTATGAAATTGACACCCTTTCAAGGCCATCCTCGAATTGAGCCGTGTATTCAACATTCAGACACAAAAACCGAGGAATTCTCCTCACACTTACCATAGATCGCGGTACTTTAACATCGGGGAACCCGTATCCGGTTCCCTCGAGAGAGTCTTGTACTTTACATCCTGCCATCAAGCGCTATATAAATTATACTCGAGTATGAATCAGCAAACGATGCCGGCAAGGCTCGAATCAAATGCATTACCATCACACCACGTGCCGTGTTGGATAAACACACTTATTTGTCCCTAAATTTTAAGATTTTTCCCTTGGGGATTAAATCGAGATGGCTTAATAACGCCGGAGAAACCTAGCACCCTAAGTTGGTTGATGCACTGACTTAATTTGTCCTTAAAGTCGGCAATTTCCCAATCTTGCTCGTTCAGCCTGAGCAGGTACTCTTCGGAAGCCATTCTCTCCTTAGCTTCACAGCCTTCATCAAGGTCCTCGAGAATAGGAAGTGGAATCTCACGATCCGCCAACATGTTCTGCAAAATGGCGGACTGCTTCGAGAAGAACGCAGTTTCTTTGGTTCTTTTCTTTAAAAGCTCTATTGCAGGAATAAAGCGATATGTCTGGACTTGTACCTGCTTTTCGACAAGTGCAAGAATGTCAAACTTCTTGAGAAACCACGGGAATACCACAATTCCCTCACGACGTTTTAACTGGGCATTCTCTTCCTTTAATCAAGCCATCTCCTCATTTACATTTGTTTCCAGAATCAGGGAGTCTTGATAATCGAGATCATTTGATGGAGGCGAGGCTGAAAATCGTCCTCCTTTTGTTTAAAGTGCTGTACTAGGTGAGAGTGTATCTGTACATTGTACGCCTAGACGGCGTCCACAATCTCCTTCTCGAGAGTCCTTACTGCAAAGATGTTGTGGATGCTCCCCAATTTCCTCATTGCTGACGAAACCATAGCATACATGGGAAAGTTCTTGACTTGGTTTTCGTCAAGGATCATCATGTGTGCTTAATGAACAAAGTATGATTCCTAACATGAGCTATGAAAATAAGTCAAGAACTTTAAAGGACAAAAGACTTGAATTAGGCAAACAAAATATTGTGAAGAACTTGTTCAAAGTTACTCTAACAACTAGCGCTACAAAGGGCGGGATCTACAACCCCAACAGGAATCCTTTCTCATTTGTATCCATCCTTTGTTTGAGTGAAGCATTCTCAAGCATACTTCAAGCTCTCCGTTCTTTCTTTGTGCCTACATCGTTCTTAGCTTTCTTAAGCTTTCTTTGCATACGTTCTTTGAGGCTTTGCCTAGCTTTGCACGAATTGTGGGTATTAAGGCTGAGCTAGCACGTCCTCGTTGGTTCTTTGAGGAATGTGCCCACTTACTGCGCGCGGTTGAATATTTCGGGTGGGATTCTGAAGCGGGTCACCTTCTCGAATCGGATCCTGGCCCCTGAACTATACCATCAGGCCTGCTCGATGCATTATGGGCCAAGACTTGTCGAGTCAACTTGGGCCGAGTCCAGGTCAGTTTTATTTATGTCAAGTTTTGTTTATTTCATATAACTAATACTTGACAGGGGCACTTGACGAGTCCATGTCCACCACCTACATTGGACCGGCACATTTACCGAGTCCAGAGTCTAAACGACTCTGTGGAGGCGGTGCAAGGATGCTAAACCTAGTGAGATTCGAACATCTTCTTCTATAAATAGGGATGATTACCCTATAATTGAGGTACGCTATCTCTAGCTCCAATAATCATATACACACTTCTCTATAACCCTATTTCTGACTTAAGCATTGGAGTGTCTACCCTCGGAAGATCCCTGAGATCCTCTTTTGCAGGAAACCCTAAGCGGAGTTCCACTGGAGTCACAACTCCAGGCTTCGTCATTCACTCTATTGAATTCACGTTTTCTATTGTTAACTCGCATGCAAGGAAGGCGTTGCGAGCTTGGAGAGCCCTTGTAAAGTTGCAAGCCCTAGTAAGAGGTAATCTAGTGAGGAAACAAACAACAGTTGTGCTAAGAAGTATGACTATTCTAGCTAGAGCTCGCTACAAGAGAGTCCAAATGGTGGAGACCGGATCAAACCCTGACTGCGGTTTAATGTCATTAAATTCAATTTTTCCGTTCTAGAAAAACAGATCATTTTTTGTAAAAATATTACATAGAGTTGACCACACGTACATTTGAGAATTTCTATTTAGATGAGACTTTAATTTTCCTCAACCTTACTGAATAGACCTATAAACTTGTAGGAAAAAACAATTGGTCAGGAAGGAAGAAAAAGATAGGAGGGAAGAAGCGGACCTTTAGATCAATGTTTCAAAACTGAAACCATGGAAAAAGGACACTTGATCAGAAAATCATCATGGAATATTCAATGACATAATAATAACCTCAAAAGACAACAATGTTGCCAAACACAAAGGACACAAATTTGCCGGCACCATTGAGTTGTTCTACTAGTCTTAATTAACATCATCCAAGTTACATGACTTGACAAATATCAGCGAAGACTAAAAGTTTCTTTGACTGTTTGAAAAAGTGTCGCGCAATTAAGAACACTAAACAGAGTTGAGGACTTACTCAGTTGCCATTTTCCTTTCAAGTAAATTGGTACCATGTTCTTCAAAGGTCTTCCGATGGCTTCATATTATAAATCCTGGCTCCAATTATGGATATGATCTCATTTTGAATACCTAAGGACACTACGTAGAGAGAATCAAACTACATTAGAAGCCAGAATCTGTTTGATCATGTTGGCCCTTGCGAACAGCTTGAGGGAACTCAAAGACAGGGGACTATCCTCTGTTATTTCATTTCATGTCCCTTCAAGCCAGTCAAATTATTGTTACACTGACTTTGAACATCAATGATCAAACTCAGAGGATCACTTATTTCTTATTCTTCCCTGAAACCTGAAGCTGAAGCTGATCACTTATAGATTATTTGACCTACTGTTACTTATAGCTTAAATATTCTTACAGATTATTCCACGAATTACACGTTATTCATTGCAGTCTTATTTTCTTACAGGCTGGAGATTGCAAATTACCCTGCTTATTCTGCAGCTTTCCAGGTTCCTTGGTGGATTTAGCGGCAAGATCTTGCACGTTACTTGGTGGATTGAGCCCTCGTGACGGACAGATATCAGCTTCGATTGGGGGGTGGTAGCAAGTGATATATAGATTCACAAGGAGAAATTTTTAAGCCTTTGGTTGAGTCCCTAAGTCTAAAAATATACAGACACCATATTTCCTTTGATGCTGTTGTACTTGTACTTAAATTTTGTACATCATCACAATCTAATTATACATCGCTATGGTTTGGCTTAATGGCATATGCGACCCAAACTAATCCCCAACTGAGTCGGGTGGATCCCTTTCGAGAGGTAAAACTCTCCCGTTACGAATCCAGTTCCTAATTCTATCTCCTGAAAATGTTCCAAGGCCTACAAATAATCTCTCCATGTCCTGAAGACTAGTACCTTTCGTTTCAGGTAGGAACAAGTAAATGAAAATCCATCCTGACAATGCAATCCCCGAGTACATAAAAAAGAACTTACCCAAGTTAAAGCTTGGTATATGCGTCATTACTAATAAAAAGCTAAACATCACAATCGCACTAGCAAAAAAGTTCATTGCTACTGCCATGCCACTTCCAAGAGCTCTCAGCCTTGTAGGGAAAACCTCAGAGCTGTAAATCAGCACAATCGGACCAATCCCGGTTGAGAAAAAAATGATACAGCACAATGAGCAGATGATGCAAATTGCTAATGCCCAGGTTATCTTTTGATCAGAATAATGATATATGGTAGTGACTCCAACGGCCAGTCCGAATAGCGAAACCACCATTCCGGCAACACTGTATAAGAGCAAAATTCGCCGTCCAAGCTTGTCCACCAACACTGTGGCTACTAAATTACACACAATTCCGGTTAGCCCAAATGCACAAGTTATGAGCAGCTGATGGATTTCCCTTCGGACGCCTGCTTTTTCAACAATGTTTATACTAAACAAGTTAACCACGGAAATCCCAATCGCTTGCTGTAAGAATTGTATAACTAATGCAGTTACAAGCATATGTCGAACTGATGTTGAAGGATGAATGACCAATTCCTTGAAAGCATGAAAGAATGTGGTAGTGTTTCTAGAATTGGCTACCGCCTTTCGGATATCTTCAAATCGTAATTGGGATTCTTCCATTGAGCTTGAAGTTCTGTCTAAAAGTCTTTTGGCATCCTCAAGTCGATCTTTCATCACCAGCCAATGTGGCGACTCGGATATCATAATCGACAATCCTATGCACAAGAACACTGATGCAACTGCAGCAATTCCAACCATGTATCGCCACCCGAAGTAACCAACAATCTTTGGTAAACAATAGGTCGAAATCGCAGCAAGCAATGCCCCTGAAATTGAACGATCAAATGTTTAGAAGTAAATAAGGTCTATCCTCAATGGCAAAGTTACTATTAGAAAGCTCAGAAAGCAAAAAATTACCAGCACTAAGAAACACTTCCGGCAAAGAAGTAAGGAAGCCACGGGAGGAAACAGGGGAGGAGATTTCCGCGATGTAAACCGGAGCTACCATGAAAGCATAACCACCTCCCACGGCAGAGCAAAAATGGCCAACCATGAAGAAAGCAAAGTTAGTGGCAGAACACATTAACACGGACCCTGCAAAGAAGATGGTACAGCTGAAAAGTAACGTGTACCGCCTGCCGATCCAATCTGCCGTCCGGGCAGCAGCTAATACAGCCAGTAGATAGAACAGGGGAAAACATACACAGAAGATAATAATTTCAACCCTGGTGAAATTGAGGTCATCGGACATCTTATTGCCGAATTCCGGTGTAAGCAACCCGATATCTGAAAAAGGATAATTCAAACAAAATCAATCCCAGGTAGAGAAATTAAAAGCTGATGTGAACTGAACTCATTATTCAATCGCACCATATCCTGGAAAAATGCATGTCAAGGAAACTAGAAGAGAACAAGCCATGATTTGTTTGTTTATTTTGCTTCCCATTGGAGTATATTGTAGTGGGTCTACAGAGTCATCAACCATTGACCTGAAAACAGAATAGTGTACAATTTTCTTCAGGCTTTGAATTTTTTAGTGAGAAGATAGTTATTGATGAGAAGAAAGACAATTTGGCGCTTTATAGTTCGTACAAATGCTAGGTTTGGTTTGCCTGTAATTTATTGGACATCGAAATGACCGAATCTCGCAGTTGAAAGCTCATGCTTGAATTTCAAGGTACCTTCCCAAACTCAATGAATCAGCAAGCACCTTGTAAGGTGGAATACTACTGCCGATGATGATCGCATTTGGACTTTGTAAAATGCCGATTGATCGTACCCCTGTTTTGAGCCATAAAAATAGTCTAAACATTGATCAAATTTTTAAATGAAACCACTCCCGGTTTTAAAATACTACTGTTAAAATAGAACAGACACATTATTTTCTTTTAACCATATGATGGTTAACGTTGTGACTAATCTGCTTGTTAGTCAAATCATTTAAGATTACTCGATGACATGACTGAGTTCTGAACATCCAGCCATTGCATAAGTTAGTTAGTTACTAAGTTTTGTTTTAAAGATGTAGACTACTACTGTTAAAAATATATAACGGACACGTTATTTTCTTCATTTTTTTTTATATATCGCACGATGTTTGACGTCGTGGCTGGTCTGCTTACTAGTCAAATTATTTAAAATTACTCGATGACATCACGAGGTTTGAACATCGAATCATTGCATAAATTAGTTAGTGACTCCATTCGTCCCAAAATTATTATTCTCTTTGAATTTTTACTTTTAGTACAGTTTTAATAAAAAATGAAAATCAAACAAGATAAAAATTTTAAGATGGAAGGAGTACTATATTTTGTTATCAAATTCTAAGATACCTAAACTTCAATCAGGTTTTCATTATGTAGTGAGTCGATGAAGAAGGCTAGAATTCAAACTTGATTTAGTAAGTACGCTTCAGCCATTACAAAAATCATAAAATACATTTTCAATTTTCATGATTGGTATAAATCTTTGATTTATTTATTTATGTGATTTTATGTGTTCAGAATGTGCTTTTAAAAATTACCTTAGTTAAAAAGAAAATTCTTTTACACGATCTATAATTGTAACTACAAATTGCCTAGCACCGCCGCCGTTGATTTTGGGACGATGTCACCACATAACTCACTTTTAAAGCAAAAGAAAAAAAAAAAAGAAAAAAAAAACCAACTACAATCCCTGTCTTTCAAAAACAATTTTAGACTATTTATTGTAATGTCATAGTTTAAGAACTACACCTTCTGTGGCAAAAAAAGGGGGAAAAAAAAGTACTCCTTACAAATTTCAAAACTGAAGATGTATCATTTAGTGTAAATTTTAAATCTCAAAATGTACTATTTGTTGAGACAGAGATAGTATTGTTTTTTTTTTTTTTGGTACAATGAAAATAGTCGAAACCTCAAAACTGGATTACAATGCTACGAGGATAAGACACACCAATCACATCATGTTTCAGCCAGTGCAACATTCCTCGGCAGATGAGTAAGACATTGAAGCCCTCGGGATTCAAAGATGCTACTTTTGCTAAATGATAAGCTAAAAGTTCACATTAGAGATAGTATTTAAAAAAAAAAAAAAGAGATAAAGGGATAAAACTTAATTGAATACCTGAAGTATAAAGTCTGAATGTTGAATTATAAATGGCGAACTAATTAAGTTTTTTTTAATAAAAACCAAAATATAACGTTTTTAGAAAAATGTTTAAATTCAGCAAGGTCTTGGTTTATGTTTTTCTCTACCAAAATTGATGAGATGCATGAAATCATCATGACAATGATAATAAAATTTTTGTGAACTATATAAGAATTTTTTTATTTTACTATTAATAATAATGTCAAATTCTAATGCTACAAATATTTTAGATACATTTATCATGGACTTTATTTCTATTATATAATGTAATTTATGTCAAAACAAAGTAAAAATTTTGATGAGAGGTAGTTTAGAAAAAATAGCTCATATAAACGGTATCCCTTTTACTCTATTAAAGCAGAATATAGGATGTTAATGCGGCAACTTCTTATAAAAAAATTTTGGCTCCAAATGCACCATATTGCATTAACTATTCAGCCACGTGTCATCCCTTTTTAAAAGAGAAAAAAAAAACTTCTTATCCGGAGAAATAAAAGTTACTTTACAAAAATAACTACACAATTTTAACTCCTAACAGTTATCATTTATCAATCAAATTAAGATAGCATTTAAATTTGCCCATAAACTTATCCCCTTTATTACTCCAGATTCTTTTGTATGATTTCTGCATCGTTGTACTTTTCAATATTTTTTCTCCTTTTGCAGATGATTTTTTTATTTTTATTTTTATTTTTGGCTAAAAAAGCGAAAAAAAAAAACAAATGTGTAGCTATTTTATTTTTTTCCACATCAAGAATTTATTTATCTATTAACACAAAATTAAAGTAGAGGGGGCGTCCGAACATCTGCCCAGGCCAAGCATCTAGTTACTTTTAAATAATTTGCAGCAAGAGTGTAAACTTCAAAAGTACTATTTTAAATAATTTTTACGTAAAAAACTAAAATACTGATACTTTGGGAGGCAGTTGACCTGCTGGCATTCTTTCACGTTTCATTAATTATTGAATTTTGACCAAAGAAAACTGCCCATCCCAAATTCGACCTAAGCTAAATACTAGTACCTGTTGCGAGACGAAACTTCGCATCAGTTACTCGAAAGCTACAGAGAGATATACCTCGGATCTGATGAAATCTAAGCAGTAATTGATGTCACGAAAGAGACTAATTAATTGAATATTGTAAAGCCATGTTGGATTTTCTTTTTAAAAAATCCCAGTTTTGGCACGTTTCTTTAATTATACATAACACCAAAACCCTCCTTTCTTTTCCCAGATGGTTAGGACTCAGAAGAAGCTATGAATCTATTATGAATAATTCATTATTGATGGGAAATCAGTTGAACCACAAATGATCCGAAAGTTGTATGCATGCTTAATCTCCGTTGTAGTTTGTACATTAGATTTTATGGATCATTGTGAATGGCTAAATTTCAATTATGCACACTAAGATACGTGACTATGTAATTCATGCCATGTTGGTAAGATTAATCCATTGATCAAAGAAGCAACAAAATTCATACAGTTAAATCAATAACCTCATCGCTCCGCCAATTGAAATTCTGGATTCAAATTACTTGCTGCCTATACTAACTCGATAATCATTAGCAGAACTAGTGCCTGCTTTTACACACAAATTAATTGCTGCCTATACTAACTCCATAATCATTAATAGAACTTGAAAGATTGGCTTATCAAATTAATGAATAGATTTTTTTCCGTGTTTTCGGGCCAATGATGAACGATTGCGAGGGTCATAGTGCTGGTGATGAGACAGATGGACCAAACCTTGGGCTTTTGGTATTTCCTAGTCTTGAAGCCCATTAAGCAAATGAGATAAGGCTGCCATGGCATGAGCTTGCCTAGACATGAGATTGGTAGTGGATGGATCTTGGCCCAAAACAATGCCATAACCATCATTGTAAGAGTCCATTCCTTGGGCCATGAGCTGCCAAATTAAGCTTCCACCCATAGTACCACCACTTCTTGCAAACCCATAGATAAGCCTATAAACATTACCCATAAAATCATCTCTGTTGGTCAAACTGAAACCTGGATCTTTGCTTGATTTCCCAAATTCAGCTACCACCAATGGCTTCTTCAGTATGTTCTTTGAATCTTCCCAATGACTTGTCATCCACCTTTGCATGAATCCCATTTGTGCATTGTCATCTTGTCCTGACATCCTGCATATGAATCAGATAAAATATTACATCCATTCATTAATTTTTTTCATTTATCAGTTTTATTATGAGCTTTAGACGATATACGTATCAGAAGTCTAAATTTAAAAATTTTAGTCATAAATATTAGAGTATATTGTTATGGAACGGAGAAAATAATTAACAAATTTATATGATTAAGATGATCTGATTCATTTATATAGTTGTGTATTATACCATTGATCTGGATATGCATGGATAGTGGCAAAATCAATCTCCTTGATAAGATGGTTGCTGATGAAATCTGTACCAACTTGATAGCCAGGATTATTTTGTTTCTTTTCAGGCATTGAGTCCCCATAAAATCCTTCCATTCCAACCTCCAATAAATGTTTGTTATCCAATGATTTAACAAAACTTGCCATCTCTTGCACCCATCCCTACATATAACATAGCTTAAATTATTAGTTTGGTAGGGAGAAAAAAGAGAGAGACTTCAATATTGCAGTTTGAAGAATATAGACTTACGTTTACAGTTTTTCCAGAATAGTCAGCTTGGCAACGAGGCTCATTTATGAGTTCCCATGCCATAATGATTGGATCATCCATGTATGGCATTCTTGTAATGGTGTTAAACCTTGTCAAAACTCTCTGCACGCAAATACATATAACAATTAATTATAAAGTGAAAAATTTATGAACAATCCATAATTAAGATTTATCATTTTCTAAATCAATTTCTTACCTTGACGTGATCTTTGTAGTATCCTTTAATAACCGGATGTGTATAAAAATCATCATCACCACTGATTTGAGCTCCTGAGTTCCTTGCCCATTGAGCATATTGTCCTCTTCCTCCAAAGTCATTGTAGTTATTCACAAAGCTTAGAATTAATCGAATCCCATATTTCCTTGCTTCAGATATCACGAAATCAAGCCCCTTCATCACATATAAATACAAATTTATCAGTCTTCAAAAAAAAAAAACGAAAAAGAAAAAATTATTCATCGCCAATAGCATTAACTAATGCAATATTATTTAGAAAGCAATGGGTATTCAAAAACACCTCAGGCAAATTACCTGAAAAACACGTTCATCATAAGTTCCGGGCGATATTTGAAGAGCTCGATCGCCTCCATCGCTAAACGCCCAAGTCCGGCAAACGGAAAGGCCAGCGGCCGAAGCATCCCTAAACACTTCCGACACTTTGTACCTCTCAGCTGGCTCAGCCGCGACGTGCATTAGCCAGTACGAGTTGAACCCGTTGAAGAGAAATGGCGAGCCGTTTAGAACAAATCGCGAACCTTGGGTTCGAACAAATTCAACATCATTGTTCAAAACCCTAGCCTCACAAGTAAGCTGACCTAGGAAAAGTGAAAGTAGTGTTACAAGGAGAACTTGATGAACAAAAGAATTAGACGCCATTGGTTAGTTTTTTTTTTGGATGATAAGAGAATTGTTGAATGTGAGTGAGTACTTTGGGGGAATGCATGGGAGTTCTATTTATAAGGTATTTGGAGGATAATAGGGGTTGCTAAAAATAGAAAAACTATAAATTGCGCGCGGAAGTTATGTACAGTTTTTCGGTGACGGTGGGTTGCCAAAATTGCTTTCAGACTATAAAAGAAAATGAATGATGATTGGTTTTCTAAAGGGACGTTATTTAATTTGTTGGTTGGAATCCTTACGTCAGTTGGAAAAATTCATGGGATTTTTTCTAGGTTAATTGTCTTCAACATGTACACATGGTTAATGAAAAAAAGGAGGAAAATGATCATAGAATTTTACTAGTGTATATAATGGATGATGTATTACACGTGCTTATCCCATGTGAGTAGTTTCGGTTGATCATTTGATCTTTCTTCTATTGCTTTTTGTTTTTTTTTTTTTAGTAATTCATGGAACTATAATTATAGACATTCATAGAAATTCCATGCAATAAATATTGACCAATTTATCACTTTTAAAAGTGTAGCTCTTTAAGTGTAGTACTTAACGTACAAGAGAAGTTGAAACACGTCAAAAATGACAAGAACATGATAGATTCGAACATAATCTTTGTTTAATGGATTAGTCTTTTAAGGAATGGCTAAGGTTGTTTGTATTATATAGTACCGTTACAGAACTATTTGTTTGAGTGTAAACATAACTCTCACAAGAAAAACAAAAGTGGAGAGATGAAACATATATTTAGATTTTGGAAGTTAATATAAAGGATATACACCAACATAGGGTTTGCTTTAAGTAGTGTATAACCTAATGCAATCATCAAATACATCTGAGGAAGAGGTTTAGACATTGTGCCGCGGGTTGAGTTTGGTTTGGTTTGGTTCGTTATCTTTTTCCATCTCTTTCTGTTGGTTAAATTATTTTTTTTACTGCAAAGATTTAATCAGATAAATAAATTTTTAGTTAGGATTGTGTAATCTGCAGATTTATCTAAATTATTTTAGTTGAATTAGTTTTGGAGATTTTTTAGTATTTGAACGTAGAATTTTAAAGATATTTTAGAAATTTAAGAGTTATATATGTTCTCTTTTTGGTTATTGTAGAGTAGTCTATAAATTAAAATTCTCACAAAATAAAATACAACTCTATTCTCATGAAATTTTAAGCTCTTAAAAATTTATGATCTTTTCTCCTCTCTTTTCCTACACTCTCTTAGCTAGTAGTAATATGAGTTTTCACCTTCCCTTCGTTAAATCTTCATATGCACGAATTATTTTGATTTTTCTATCACCCCTTCCTTAAATGTTCATAACCACGGATTATTTTAATTAGTATGGTCTGACTTCAAATTTATACTTGGATGATGTTAGAAAGTTGTTGTACATATCAAGAAGTGTTTACATGTGTTATCATTATTTAGTCACTGAACTTATTTTCGACAGTATTGTTTGTCAAAATCTCCCTCCAACAAGTTTTTCACACATTGTAGAAAATATAATTCAGTTGTGCGTTTAATTCATTAATAATTTATAGCAAGTCAATTTCTTTTTCCTTTTCCCTTTTTTATTATCATATCATTAAGTCATAAGTCATAACAACCTTTTCTGCCGTTTTGAACAAATTTGATCAAATTTATATATACTAGAAATGAAAAATTGGAAAAAGAGACCATGCAGTACCAAATATATGGGTATTATTACTTTTCCAAGATGCTTTTATGCCTCAAATTTCTCCTGGATCTTAGGCCAATCAAACGCCCACAAATGGTGGAAACAACATAAATCGGCCCCGGTCCTTGTAACTTGTGTCGTTGGATGGCACAAGTGTGAAATTTTTTAAAATGAACAAATTTTTTTTTTTTTTTTTTGTTAAAAGTATCTGTTTTATTATGTTAAAAGTACTAATCTATTACATTGCATACGATTGAAAGCTAAATTATGCATATCTCGTACATCCCATCTACTTACTTTGGTGATTGTACAAAAAGTAAATGAGGAAATTAAAGTATTTAATAGTGAAAGGATTTCTCGGGAATTGGATGGCATCAAAGGGGATTGCAAGTCTTGCGATAGCACTTCACAATCCGCGAAAACCTAAATCCGAGTAAGACCAAGAGTTGCGCTTGCTGTAAATCTAGAAGACATGTGGTAGTTTCGGTTTGAAGCGGTGTAAGGGCATTAATCCCTGTGGTTCAGACTTGCATGACCATGCTATTTGGGGATATAATTTTCTATGTTCCGGCTGCCTAGCATGTTTGATGACTAAATGAACCATCAAAAATAATTAAAGCAACATTAGGCATCCGAAATGATGATTCCTGAGTAGCAAATGATTAGTAGAGGAAGATGTTGGATTGATCCGTCGTTGGAGACTAAGAAGGGACCGAAAGTCTGATTGAATTAAATTCCAAGAAGTGGTGGAATCATGAACTTGGTTTTTCCAGACTTTATCATTGCGGTCAAGCGAAATTCGCCACATAATGAGGAGTAGGAGATCAACATCATGTTTGGATGATTGTGTTTGACACCACGCAGTGAACCATTGGAACAGGAAATAATAGGAAGAATTGAAGATGGAACTGAATCGAGGGAAAGCAAGTGCCCAAAGTGCTTGTGACATCTCACATTTAAGGAATAAGTGTGTACTATCTTCTTCCGCTCTAAAGCACCGTGGCAACTAGTTATTATGGGGACTCCTCTTTTGTGAAGCTCGGAACGAGTGGTCAGAGCATTTAAACAAGCTCTCCAGAAAAGGAATTTTTGCTTGGGTTGTACTTTCGAATTCCATAGCTTCATCCAAGCAAGTTTCTCTGATTGTAAAATTGCAGGATTCAGAATAGGCTGTGAGATTGTGGAATTAATTGTCACTTGATAACCACTTGATAACCAATTTTTTTGTTAATATTCAGAGATCAGAACAATACTATATACATTCAATCCAACTAGCATCATATGAGTTTTGATATTCTGATTGAGGTGCACTGCCCTCATTAATATACCTTAGTTTCCAAAAGAAAATATATTTATCGTCATCATCTAAATCAATGATGAATAATTTACAGTATATGACTATACCAAAATCACGATACCGTTTCATTCTTTGTATCGATTTCCTGACTTGTAATCTAATAAAATAAGTTTTGTTAGAAAAGAAACGGAAAAAAGAAATTTCTTTTGAAGAAATGTTGTAGAGAACCAAGTTGAACGATTTTTTTGTAATTGCAACAGAAATTTGATCCAACGTTGTTCCATAGCCACACATGTAGCACATGTATATAGTTGAGTGTGATATCAATGTTTTGCAGAATTTGCTCCTTACTTTAAGACTAAAATGACATGTGACTCTCAACATGGAGTTTAACATTAATTAAATCATTACCAACAACTATTATTTTTTGTGATCACGTCCCTTTTTCGTGGTCAATATGTACATTCATTAGAATTATGTTTGTCAAAAAAAGAAAAAAAAATCACTAGAATAATGATATGCTATGTGTAGATCATCAGACAAATGCACAATCACAAAAATATAGCAAGCGTTAATTAAGTCTCCTTAAGAATTAAGAGTAACGATTTTGAGAAAATCCTATGTATTGACGGACTCAAAGCTAGAATTAGAATAATTAGAATGACCCCAAGACTGTTTTTCCTAAGATCCATTTGTAAAACTCTATTCTGCCCTTACTTTTATTTCTTCAGAAATTATTACATCATCTATTTTTTTCACGTTCTTCTGTCTCTATTTTTCGCCGACCGCAATTCACAGTCCCCAACAAGCCCACCAATTAGTGCCGTTTGCCGGAACCCTAGGTTATTATTTCTCCGGGAAAAATATTAAGTTGTATAAGCCATAATTTCTACTTAACCAAATTCACTGTCATATCCATCGACCGGTCGGGTGACAATGATTTTTACACTTTGTTTCATTTTTTTATGGTATTTTTAAATTAAAATATTAATAAATGTCCCATCTCAGTACACATTTTTACATTTCTAATACACTTTTTTACATTCTCAATACGAAAAACACTTAAAAACACACACTAAAAAAACGAAACAAACATGAGCTACTAACTAAGCGAGTAAACTATCCACTATTTACCAACTAAGTCCTTGTATTTACAAAATATGCTAAATGCATGTATTTGACTATATACAATCCAATTATATACAGTTGACTCTATGATTTCAATCAGGCTCCTTGGCCTGCATTTTAGTATTTTGTGGAGGAATATTTACAATGTCACGAATTACACCACATCATACATGAACACTAAAAATCGTCATACAAGCTAAATCATTATCATTGTTCTTTGATTGTTCAACTCGGCCTCCGCTTGATGTCCTTCTAAGATCCTATGGAATAATCTCCTTATCTCCCTCTAGTAATTGTAAAATTTCCAAAGTTCATGATAATAAAGCTGTGAATCGTACACATACAATTTAATTATTAGATAATATTCCAGTGATGGATCGAGTTCCTAATTCGATTACCAGAGAAGGGACCAAGGCCTAGAAATAATTTCTCCATCTCCTGAAGACTATTACCTTTGGTTTCAGGAAGGAACAAGTAAATGAATATCCAACCTGATAAAGCAATTCCAGTGTACAAAAAGAATAAACTACCAAAGTTAAAGCTAGTTTTAAATCTTATTAAGACTGCAAAGCTGAATACCACAATCGCAGTGGTGAAAAAATTCATTGCTGCTGCCATGCCACTCCCTAGAGCTCTCAACCTGGGTGGAAAAATCTCAGAACTGTAGATCCACGCAATCGGCCCGATCCCGATTGAGAAAAACACGGTACAGAATAACGAACAAATGATGCATATTGTTAGTGCCCAGGTTATCTTTTGATCAGAATGATGAGAATGGTGATGAATGATTGTAAGGCCAATGGCAAATCCCATTAGTGAAAATGCCATTCCAGCAAGGCTGCTCAAGAGTAAAACTCGCCGTCCGATCTTGTCGACCAGCGCCGTGGCGACTAAATTGCACATGATTCCGGCGAGTCCGATGGCATAACTGATGAATTGCTGATGGCTTTCCCTTTGGACCCCTGCTTTTTCGAAAACATTCGTAGTGAATGAAGTAATTACGCTGATCCCGCTTGCTTGTTGGAAGAAATGTACAGCTAGGGCTGTAATTAGCATATGTCGAACCGCTGGTGAAGGATGAATGAGCAATTCTTTCAATCCAACACAAACTGTGGTACCGTTTTGGTCAGGAATTCCGGCAGCCTTTTTGATTTCTTCAAATATCAACCGGGATTCTTCAAATGACCCTGAAGTTTTTTCTAAAACTCGTTTAGCATCCGGAAGTCGGTCTTTCATTACCAGCCAATATGACGATTCAGATGTGATACTCAACAAGGCTATGAATAAGAACACTGATGCAAATGCTGCAATTCCAACCATAAATCGCCAACCCAATTGAGATGAAATCATGGGTAAACAGTAGCTCACAATCCCTCCAAGCAACGACCCTGTAATTGAACGGATCAAGATATAGTCTGAGATGTCAGAAATACTAAAATGCAGGCCAAGGAGCCTGATTGAAATCATAGAGTCAACTGTATCTAATCCTTTGCAATAGGGTCATTATTACACTTTTGAAGATGTCAGAAATCAATTATTACCAACATTGACGAGAAGTTCAGGCAATGAAGTGAGGAATCCACGACTGGACGAAACAGGGGAGATTTCCGCGATGTAGAGTGGCGCTACCATTACAGCGTAGCCAACTCCGACGGAGGAACAAAAGCGGCCAACCATGAAGGAAGAAAAGTTAGTGGCGAATCCCATCAGCACAGAACCTGCAAAGAAGATGGTACAGCTGAAAAGCAACGTGTACCGCCGGCCGATCCGATCCGCCGTCCAGGCAGCAGCTACGGCACCAAGAAGATAGAACAGGGGAACAAACACAAAGAAGACTATAACTTCAACTGAAGAGAATTTGAGGTCAAGGTGCGCCTTTCTGGCTACTTCTGTAACCACCCCAACATCTGGAAACAGATAATTAAGCAAAGTCAATAGTTAGAAAATGGTGAATGTATCGGAGCTGAAGTAATATTGAATGGCATCAAGGAACCTTTTTCTGAATCGCACCATATCCTGAGGAAACACAAGTCAGGGAAGCTAAAAGAGAACAAGCCAATACATGTTTGTTTATTCTGGTTTCCTTCGGAGAATCTTGTTGAGAATCTTCAAGGTCAGGATCAGCCATAGGCAAGAATTAGTTTACAATTTTGTGCTGCCAAATCTTAATAAGAAAGCTCGGAAATCGCAATTGATGTTCCGGCCTTCTTGTATTCTGAAATGCGGAGTTTCAAACTTTGAAATGAGATAATTAATGATGAGAAAATTGTCAAATTGACCAGCCCGTTGGTGGAGTTGGTTTGGCTTTCACACAGAAAACTCTCTTTGTCTCAGTATGGACATCGAAATATCCTATACTATTTGTTGAAGGAACTTCACAGCTCCTACTTGAATTTCGAGGTAGCTTTCACACTCGATGATTCAGAAATACCTTAAGATGGAATCCTATTATATAAAGACATGGAAATTTCATAAAGACATAAACTGACTATCTGTCAATATGGTTTTTGGCGTTCAATAGACATTTCAGTAATATATAGACTATTAAACAGAATGGATCTCTTCGGCATTTAGAGTTTTAAATTAAGAAAGCCCTAAAGATACTAGGTAACAAATTAAGAAGACTTTGGGACTTCAGAGGCCGTACCAACCGTTGACCGCTGAGATTGTTACCTACTTAATTCATGGTTGAATTTTAGGGAAGCAAAGCAAAAATGATTTTGTACTTTGACCTTAATTTGGTACCGCTACATAAGGTCATACTTCCTCCGGTTCTTATTATAAGCTATTTTGATTTGTCCTAACTTTCACCTAGGATGTTTTGTTAATTGAAATAAAAACCTTAAAAAACATATCCGAATAATTTGGAGAACCTATCCAATATGAAAATATATTTTTAAGGTTTTTTTTCAATTAAAAAAATATCCTATGTGAGATCTAAACAAAGTCAAAATGCCTTATAATAAGGACATGAGGGAGTAGTTGTCTACCCAAAATCTATTTTTCCGTGTTAAAAATAACACATTTTATAGTTCTTCTATCACAAAATTATTGTCCAGTTTGAAATTTTATTTTTAGTACAATTTGAACTAGAAATGAAAACCCAAATTGGACAATAATTATGGGACGGAGGGAGTATGAGTTAATGGCAAATATTACCGTGTTCTTGTATTCCATCATCTATATCATTGAAGCTTGTTCGCAATGATTTGTCTGAGTCGCCCAGTTATTCCAAAACTATCAGTTCAACAAGTGAAGAATTGTTAGAATATATCGTCAAGGAGCAATACTTAGTTAAGTTTGATGGACAGGAAAAATCTCATTAAATCCACGTAATTTTAGTGCTAGGAAAGAAGCCTAATTAAGCCAAATTATGTAAAAAGGATCAAATCAAGCCGACAATTATTACAAAGTCGGTGACAAAACTTTAGCACTTCTCTGAAGTTTCCGTCCTAAGAAATTCTACACCTGCAAAGAGGGCACAATGTGAATCAATAAGACCACAGAAGCCATTCAAAGTGGTACCATATGTTCCTCTTTTCTTTGTCATTGAAGGGAAGATTCAACACTGACTTCTACCAAAAATCTTTCGTAAATAAAACATCAAGACGCTTGCGGGGTGAAAAAAGAAAAAGAAAAAAAGAAAACGAGCATCAGACCAAGTCAAGTCAACAACAATCATGATTTGAGTAGATGAAGAGAAATTAAGAGTAAGTAATATCTTCAAAACAATCAATAATTCAGGATCTTAAATAAGGAAGAAACAAACATTGGTCCCAATCAGGTCCTAAACCTCAAAACAAAAAAACTCACGGATTATTGATAATAAACTAATTCATAATGGTGTAGTATTAGCAGCATCTTTTCGATAAATAGGCAAGGTTTAGTATTAGCAGTAACATTGGTATGACCCAAGTTCATCCTTACCTGCAGGCTGCAGCAATTCTGATTTCTTCAAATCTCAAATTGTACCTCACTGAAAGAATATTTTTCGTGTCTTATTACATGTGTACAACATCACATATATATAGTACAATATTACAATAACCCTAGCCGTAATTATTGGAAACCCTAATTAGGATTTCCGTATTTATATATTCTATCATCCCCCCGCAATCGGAGTAGGAGAGGAAATCATGCACAGATTGGTTCTAAACGAATAAAATTTATCCTTAGGTAAGGATTTGGTGAATACATCTGCTAGTTGAGACTGGGTGGAGATATGAAGAACTCGAAGAAGACCAGCAGCAGCACGTTCACGAACAAAATGAATTTCTAGACCAATATGTTTGGTTCGAGCATGATTAACAGGATTGGCAGCTAGGTATGTAGCAGAGACATTGTCACACAAGATCACTGGGCGCTGAGGAAGCTTGATATGAAGTTCTGACAGAAGATTCTCTAACCAAACCGTTTCAGCCAAAACAGAAGCAACAGCGTGATATTCAGACTCAGCAGAAGATCTGGAAACTGTAGATTGTTTCTTGGAGGACCAGGAAATGAGAGAGGAGCCTAAGAAGACACAAAAACCAGTGGTAGAATGGCGAGTAGTGGGACACCCGGCCCAATCAGCATCAGAATAAGTAACCAGGCGATCAAGAGGACCAGCGCGGAGATGAATGCCATAATGAAGTGTGCCTTTAATATATTGTAGAATACGCTTGACAGCTTGAAAATGCTATTCCCGGGGATCATGCATTTGCTGACAGACAAGGTTGACCGCATACTGAAGGTCCGGTCTGGTGAAGGTAAGATACTGTAAGGCACCCACCAAGCTCTGATAGAGAGTTGGATTGTGAAAAGGCGGAGACTCATCAACAGAAAACTGAAAAGCGGGAGCAAGGGAGTTGCAACAGGATTGGCATCAGTGAGATGACTACGAGCCAACAATTCCTCAGCATACTTACGTTGGTGTAAAAACCAACCACCAGAGTGAGGAGCAACAGAAACACTGAGAAAATAGCTGATTGGACCAAGATCAGTCATGGCAAAAGCATCTTTCAGCGACTGAATAATAGTAGTGAGCAGACGATTACTAGATGCTCTCAAGAGAATGTCATCAACATAAAGTAACAAAACCGCCATGTCTGATCTAGCAAAATACACAAACATAGAAGAGTCTGAGCGACTGCCTGTAAAACCCTGAGAAAACAGAAAAGTAGTGAATCTGTGAAACCACCGAACCAGGAAGGTGGCGATGTGACACTAATCTAGATAAAACAGAAAAATTGGGGTGACCAAGGCGTTGATGCCAGACATGAGAAGAGACGGGAGCAACGAACGCCGGACATGATGAAGAAAACGGTGCGCGAGATTGATCCAAAAGGGTGGATGGGAAAGTGTAAAGGGAACCAACACTATTGCAACGTAGACAAGGGTTCCTCGTCCAAAGATCCTTCACAGAAAAACCAAAGGGATCAAACTCAATAGAACATTGATTTTCAGTTGCAAATTGACGCACAAACAAGATTTTTGGTAAGTGAAGGTACATAATAAACCCTAGGAAAGCAAAATTGAGAACAAGGAAGTGTACCAACAGATTTAATAGGTAAATTTGAACCATTACCAATCACAACTCGAGTAGAACCAAGATAGGGTTTGGAATTAGTAAGAGTACCTTGATTGGGAGTCATAGTATTACCACAAGTCGTGTCCATATACCAAGAAGAATCAACAGACAGAGGGACAGAAAGCCGATTATGTTGATCAACAAAATAAGCGGGCTGTTGGAATTGATAGCAATCCCGGGTAGAATGATTAAATTGATGGCATAATTGACATCGAACAGGACTTGAATTGGACGAGGAAGAAGGAGGCGGTCCAAAAAGAGAGGGAGCGTGCTGCCTGGGAGTAAACATGAGAGCCAGATAAGAAGAATAAGAGTGATAGAACGGAGAAGTGGACTGACCAAAATATTGATTGCGACCACGCCCGCGGCCTCGGCCTCTTGAATTCTGGAAGCCGCGACCCCTTCCACGGCCAAAACTCCATGAAACAGGAGAAGGAGAAGCGAACGTCGACTGCTGAGAAGAACCAGGTGAAGCAGCCGCCACCAAGGCCGTGGTTGCCGCGGGAGAAGAAGGAGGGGCCACGTTCTGAAGCTGCACCTCATGCAAGAACAGCATCGAACGAGCCTCAATGAAGGTAGGAAGAGGGACTTTGTGGCTAATGGTGGTGGAGACGAATTGATAATCAGCAGGAAGACCGGCGAGAATTTGCAGAACCAAATCAGAGTCAGAGATGGAACAACCGACAACGGTCAAAGAGTCAGCCAACATCTTCAATTGAGTGATATAATCATTGATTGTGGAATCACCATTCTTCAAGCTGTGGAATTGCAGCTTTAGTTAGAGAAGCCGAGAGCCAAGTTGGTCATGAAACAGCTTCTCAATCATAAGCCAGGCATCTCAGGCTGTGAGGGTGGAATTGGGCTTAACGATAGCCTGCAAGATCTCAGTAGAAACAGTGGCTTGAATCCACGAGAGTACAATAGAGTTAATTTGGGTCCAAGATTGAAAAACCGGATTGGGAGTGCAAGAATCATCAGAGGCCGCGAGAGTCACCGGTGGACAAGGAGTTGAACCGTCAATGTGACCCATGACGGCATGGCCGCGGAAAACAGGAAGAAAGAGTTCCTTCCAAAGCATGTAGTTGATAAAGTCAAGAACAGGGGTGATGTAGTTCTTAATATTTGAAAGGCCAATGGCCGGATGAGGAGGAGAAGAGGGTGGCAGGGTTGCGGTGTTGGGGGTGGTTTGAAGGTGATCAGAAGATGGAGTTCCTGTGACACCGGAGGCGGCCGAATTTGCCATAGCAGCAGCAACGTGAAAGGCAAACGAAGAAGATCAAACAAAGAAGGAATTTTTTTTTTTCAAAGAAGGAAAAGAAACGGTGAACAAACAAGAACCCCAACAACAGCAAAGCAGCAAGCAGGAAAAGAATTTTTTTTTCTACGTTTTTTTTTTTTTGGGACCAGCGAGAAGCAGAAGCAGCAAATCGGCGAGAATTAAACAGAAGCAACAGAGGCCCAGGAGCAACACTTGATGGATGCAGCAACTGGAAAGAAAAAAAAACGATGGATGCAGTAGAGTGGTGAAGAGGACGTCTAGACGCAAAGAGACGTGAGTACGGTGATATTCAAAACTCTCGCGGCACTCCAACGGCGGACAAAACCGCGACAGTGGCAAGAAGAGACCAGTGCCGGTGAGGGTAACAACAGGGATGAGCGGGAATCAAGAAGAAAGGCAAACCGCCACAGCAAAGACAGACCTTGCTGAAATCAATATCAAATAAGAAAGGCAAACCGAAGAGTTGGATGGCAACAAGAAGAAGAATTGGACGGCCGACGAAGAAGAGAAGCAACGACGGACAACCCTAAAATATTTGATGGCCCCAGTGAGAGGCTTGATACCATGAAAGAATATTTTTCGTGTCTTATTACATGTGTACAACATCATATATATAGTACAATGTTACAATAACCCTAGCAGTGATTATCGGAAACCCTAATTAGGGTTACCATATTTATATTTTCTATCACTCATAACCCATTATTAAACGAATAACAGAGGTTAATTTCTAACATAAAAACATGATATTGTTGTACACATTGCTCCCGAGACTCGTGGTAGTAGCCTTGTGGAGATGGAGTTGTTTGCACATTTTTCAGGTAGAGGGTCAACAGTCAAAGAGTTTCGAAGAAAGAATGAAGAGTAATTGATATTAATTGATTAGATTTTGCTGGCTATGTAAACCATCGAAAGGAGTACTGTTTTATTATATCTCATATCCACAATAATTAGTGTTAGTATACTAAAACAGTGATACAGAATACCTAGTGTACAATGTATAAAGGAAGAAAGCCTGCATATAACGACTCTGGCTCATGTGTCGGATCGAGTTTTTAATCCTCTGAAAACAGAACGATCCAAGGCCTGGAAATAATGTCTCCATCTCCTCAAGAGAAGCATCTTTTGTTTCAGGAACAAACAAGTAAATGAAAATCCAACCTGAAAACGAAACCACCGCATACGAAAAGAAAAGCAAACCAACATTGAAGGTCGGGAAGATTGGTAATGTTACTAATAATATAGAGCTAATCAACACAATCCAACCAGTGAAAACATTGATTGCTTCCACCGTTCCAATCCCTACGGCTCTCAACCTTTGAGGGAAAACCTCAGAACTGTAAATCACTGCAATCGGACCGATCCCGATGGAGTAAAATACGGTACAAGACAATGAACTGATGATGCACATTGCTAATGCCCAAGTTACTTTCTGACCAGGGTGATTATGAATGACAGTTAGTCCAACGGCAAGTCCAAATAACGAAAATGCCGTTCCAGCAACGCTGTGCAAGAGCAGAGTTCGCCGTCCGGCCTTGTCTACCAATACTGTGGCGACTAAATTGCTCCCGATTCCGGCGAGTCCAAACGCGTAACTGATGAATTGCTGATGGCTTTCCGTTGTGACGCCTGCTTGTTCGAAAATATTCGTGCTGAACTGATTGATCGTGATGTTGACCCCGCATGCTACTTGCACGAAATGTAAGGCTAAGGCCGTCACAAACATTTGTCGAACAGATGGAGTTGGACGAATGATCAATTCTTTCAACGCAACACAAAATTTAGCACTTTTCGCATTAGCAGAAACGTTTTCATCAGGGATACCAGGGGCCTTAATCATTTCTTCCAATCTCAATTGGGATTCTTCAAGTGAAGCTGAAGTTTTGTCTAGAATTCGTTTAGCATCATCCAGACGATCTTTCATCACCAGCCAATATGGCGACTCCGAAATCGTAGTAAACAAGCCAATACATAAGAACATTGATGGAACTGCAACAATTCCAACTATGAAGCGCCAACCCGAGTGAGCTGAAATCTTCGGCAACCAATACATTGCAACCCCTCCAAACAAAGACCCTTGAATTGGACGAATTAAGAGAGTTAAGGCTTGATTAATCGGACAATTTGCAATTACAAAATCACTGAACAATGAAATCAATTACCAATACTGGTGAACGCTTCAGGGAAAGAAGTAAGGAATCCACGGCGCGACGAAACAGGGGAGATTTCTGCTATATACAGGGCAGGTACCATAAGAGCATAACCATCTCCGAGGGCGGAGCAAAAGCGGCCAACCATGAAGACAGGAAAGTTAGTGGCAGATACCATCAAAACTGACCCAACAAATAAGATGGTGGCGCTGAAAAGTAAGGTGAACCGCCTGCCGATCCAATCCGCCATCCGGGCAGCAGTAAGAACACCGAGAAGATAGCACAGGGGAGCACATGCATAGGAGAAAGGAGCTTCAGATTGAGAGAATTTGAGGTCATGGGAGACATCATTGGCCACTTCCAAGAACGCCGTGGCATCTGATACAAAAATCAAATTGTGATTAGAAAAATGGTTTGATTGTATTGAGCTGAAGTACTTAATGAATGGTTATGAGGGAACTTCCTGAATCGCACCATATCCAGAAAAAAAGCAGGACGCGGAAGCTAAAAGAGAACAAGCCAATGAATGTTTGTTTATTTTGGTTTGTTTTGGAGAAACATTTAGAGGATCTGCTTGGTTAGCCATTTTGCTAGTATTTGTTAGTTGCCTGATTGCCTCTGGCCTGAACCTGAAGCCCAGCTACTATATATCCTTCAACATGCAGCGGAAACGAATTGGCGTCTAATGGAAATTTACGCGTATCTTATTTATTCATTCCTCTCCAATTCAATAGAGACATTTTGTTGGTATATAACATAAATTAGTTATCAATGAGCAAAGATATAATCCGATTCTGTGTTTATGCGAAGATTAATTAAAGAAAGAAAAAGTACTCTCTTGTTTTAAAAATGGTTTATTTTGTTACGTATTCCCTCGGGTCTTTAATATTCCCTCAGCCCAAAAAATAGTACACATTGAGTTTGAGATTTGTACTAGTTTTAGTATAAATTTAAATATTCAATGTGGACTTTTTTTTTTTGGAAAGAGGTAATATAAGACATTTTTATTTGTCCTAAATTTGATCTAGTATGTAATTTTAATTAGGAAAAAAACCTTAAAAATATATCCTAATAATTACAACAACACAAGGAACGTGAAAATATATTTTTAAAGTTTTATCTACAATAAAAAAATGCATATTATGTGAAATCTAGGACAAAATCAAAATGTCTCATATTAAGGATCCGAGGGAGTATTACTTTAGTTGAATGATAAAATATAATACTCTATCGGGTAGGAGGGTTGAGTCGGCTGGTTAGACCATCCAATTTTTATTTTTTTTAAAAAAGAGTATACTACTCCACTGTTGGTTTTGACTTATGCACTCTTATTGTTGACTGATTGCTATTACTATAATGAAGTGATACTGAAAGGATTCATAGAAAATCAATCTGTAGATCGGTTCCATAAATGTGGTGATGGAAGTATATTCTTAGACGCGGGATCAGCGGATAACTCCAAATCTGGAAGTATTTCTTTGTTTCAAAATATTTGTCGTATGACATTTGGATAAGAAGGAAAAACTGTTAATGATCGATTATGTTTTTTTTCTTTTTTTTTTTTTGTGGATACAATCTATTTTAATTTTTTAACTGCAAGTAATGCTGAAGTCGAACTGAAACTGATTGCATTGTTCCAACATCAAAATCAAACTTAATTCAAAATACTCCTTGTAAGTATAATAGAGAATTTATAAACTACTATTGTGGCCTTGAAGTATTTGCTAGGTTTAGAAAAAGGGCCACACTGCTAGTACTCTATTATAATTGAATACAATATGTTTTTTCGCACACTTGATAAAAGTGAATAATCTATTTATTAAATTGTAGGCATTTTAATAGGTCAATTCAGGACAACAGTGACACATTGAGTCAGTTTCATGCGAAAAGACCAGAACTCGGTAATAACTAATAATAGTACTATGCAACGCGGAGAAGACTGACTACAGGGAGAAGACTTCGGGACATTCGACTCGCGATCTTCTTCCCAAACAACAAAAACTTGTTTCTCATCATTTATTAGACGACGATTGAATGACTTATCGGGTTATGAGGACTGAAGGAAATATTTCTCGTACCCATGAACCTAAGACTGAAATTTTAATGAGTTGAAAGAAACAAATGCTACTTTTGTCCCAAAATAAAAATTTTATTAATACCTAAATCTATTCTTTTGCTGGGATGTATGTGGACGAATTACGAAGGAAAAGTGGTGAATCAAATTATTGCTCTTGAAATAGGGTATCTCTTACACCTGGTCCTGTGTAACAGATCGAGGCCTAAGCTGAATCCTGTAAAATGATGTTGAAGAAATTTTAATATTTAATGTGAATTTTTATTTTTTTTGGAAGAGTGAATATCTTTTTTAGAAAAGGTGGAAGCTGAATTGGCATTTTCCTCTTCTCGTTTTGTAATCTCTTCATCCCAGATATTTGGTTCAAGAAAGTAAGTAATCACTCTTCGTGTTCCGAAATTATTGTCCTGTTTGAATTTTCATTAGTCATATTTTATTGCAAATAATTTTGGGATAGAAGAAATATTTATTTTTTTGAGACAGATGGAATATATATATATATACATACATACATATATATATCAAATGGAATACATACATACATATATACTGTATTTATTAAAAAAGTAATATGTAATAACTTAAAAAACATAAAGTAAAAGAAATAGTGATTAATGTACACCCCTATTTTGTTATTATTTTGCCGGCGAAATTTTTATTTTTCTCTCCAAAGTTACAGGTACCTTTAATTATTATATACATATTAGTCACTATGTCTTTTCACTATCTAACATCATTGCTGTTAATATTTGTTTGTGTAATTATGATATGAATTAAAGGTCATTTGGCCTTAAATCAGCCTCAACGCATATATCTGAGGATGAAATAGGAGCAGTGCTAACTCGAGCCCTTTTGCATATGTTCCAACTTCCAATTGCTTGGATTTTAATCTTTTGAACAGTCTTATTTAGTGGATAATCAAGGATTTTAATCTTTTGAACAGTCTTATTTAGTGGATTATCAATAAGAGGAAAATGTCTGCCTGGTGCGGTCCATATATCGGAAACAAAACTTGGTTTTGCGTGTACAATAGTTTCAAATGAACTTTGAACTCTAAAGTCCAAATTAATGATGGTGGGAGGAGCAAACATGTTTCAGAAAACTTAAACATGTTTCAGAAAACTTTAGCAGTAACAGATCAAACTCAAACAGCCCATATACAACTCTGGATGATAAACTGAAAACACTTCCGTTGATGTTTCCTGTCCAAGGACTGAATCAATAATTCCACAACCATGATGACTTTCAGCCACAGTTATGAAGTTTGTCTTCAGCTCAATCACTCACGCTGAATTGAGCAAAATTGAAGTTCATCAATTTGGCTTCCTCTGCATAAGCATGAATGGGAACAGAAGACAGAGACAGAAGACACTGGCTCCATTTGTACCATCAGAGAGTAAAAATAAGCTCATTATTCTTTCCATCTAGTCACTTGTGGTTTTTCTAATACTCCTTCCATTTCAAAATGTAAGTCTTTTTAGCCTCTACATGTAAACTAAGGAAATAATCATTTAATAATTAATTTGTGTGTTAAATGTTTATTTTGTCCTTCATTAATTGTTTTGTCACTACTAACTAAAACTAGATAAAAAATAGTTAACATCATTTATTGAAGACAAAGTTGGAAACTTAACCCTTAATTTGCCTTGAAATCTTAAAACAAATTACATTTTGAAATATTTCTCCAAACCTAAAACCATCTATATTTTAAAATGGAAGGAGTACTGCCACCCAAACTTTCGGTACTAGTCTTTAGGTAAATAATGTCCCCGAGTAAGTAAAGTTCTCGGGTTTCTGCCCCTTCCATTACATAGGTCACAATGACCCAATTACTGAACCCTTGTCCATTATCCAAGTTATTTTCTTCCCTTTATAGTTTTTTTTTTTTTGGGCTACTAGATACAAATTAGATTTAAATTTTCCTAGCACTCCCATTAACCCAATTGAACATAGATGTTTTGTTTTGTGCATGTTCCAGAGAGTGAAATTGCTTTGAATGAACTTGACCCCTAAAGATTTTGATGGTGGGCGGAGAAAACAGTCACAGATCAAACTCAGACACAACTCTGAATGATAAAATTGAATACTTTCACCGAAGTTTCTCATCAGAGATATTCTAAACTGTGAAGAAGACAGAATGTGAATGAACAGGTCCACAAACCATTTAAAGTGGTACATGTCCCTTTCTTTGTCATTGAAAGAAGATTCAACATTAACATCCACCAAAAAAATCTTTCACAAACAAGGCCTCAAGACTTACTGATGAAACAAAATGTGAAACCAAAATTGATTAGCAGAATCATCAACCACAGAACACATTGACCATCCAATCCTACAACATAGCTATGAACAAGAAAAATGAGTATGGGATTCAGCCAAAGTAAAGTCACCGTGATCACCAAAGGAACTACCAACTTCACTCCAGATTTTAAAGAAGGATACTAACAATGGTCCAAATCAGGACTCAGAGCTCAGCTTCAATCAAAGTATCAAACTCTTACTGACATAATGGGGAGGCACATTTCAGTAAAATAGCACCTAATTCTGCTAACCCTTCACCTCTTCTTTCAAAATGGCACGTAGAAGCTCAGAAGAATCATCCCATCAAAAAGAGGAAAAAAAAAAGGAATAGAATGGTTGAGGGCCTTGAGCTTTTAGGCAGGCAAAATTTCATTAATGTTCTCCGAAGTAGAACTCAACTCAAGCTATAAGTAACTCAAAACTGCAACCATAATCAAGCAACTAGGAAATATTCTCACTTTACATTTCTGGGGAAAAGATTTGCTAGGAACTACAGTTACTAACGGGCTAAACAAATTCAGGAAAGAGATCTTTGCTTCTTCCTCATACAGCAAATTTGTTACTATCTACAATAACCTTTGTGAACCCCTATCACAAATATTTGCAACTGAAGTACAGAAATTCAGTACATATTACCATCTACTTAAGACCAACAAGCCAAAAAAGCTACACAGATTGGCTCATAGAACCACATCACACCTGAAATGATAAAAGTTGTCCACTTTTACTCCAATCATTAACAAAATTTGATAAACAATCAAAAGTAAACTAAAGAAAATAAATTGCGAAAGACATTAGTGGGTCAGACAAGCACAGAAAAGGGCACAATTGATTCCTTCATAACATGTACAACTCACTTCAATCTCACTTGAAATAGTACACACCGTAGTAAGACTGGAATTCATACAACACCCTGAATACACAGGAAAAAGTCAGGCACCGAGAGATAATTATCCTGATTCTTGCAAAATTAATCCCACCCCAGTAAAATTTATTCCACAAAATCGTAAAAAAGGGAAGGAGAAAAAAAAAAGAATTAGACAAGCTTGCTTGAACGAGGTGGGAACCGGAAAAAATGATCGGATTTTTAGAATCTTCTTCGGCTGGAAGTGGAATGATTAGAGAACAACCTGGTAAAGGCGAGACGGAGACGGGGGCAGAACCGAACAGTGTGAACGGTGGTTTGCCGGAAAAAGTGCTCAACCGACTCCACAAACAAGTTGAAGCTCCGAATCGGCGGGACGTACAAGGTCAACGGCACCGCCGAGAAAGCCACGGCGAAGAACAGCTGCAACATTTCACTCACTGAGATCACGGGTTTTCCTTTATTTCCTTTGGGATTTTGTTTTCCGGGTAGATTCCGAAGGAATACGAGGTGATTTTGATGATTATTCTGGATCAAGTGGTGGTGCTATGATGATTTTGACTTTCGTGTAAGAACGTTGGTTCGATGAAAAAAGTTGGGATTGGTCACCTCTTTCTCGTCGTTATTAACGTGGTTGGTGGGCCCATTTGGAGTTTGGATTTTTTTTTTTTTTTTTTTGGTTGAAGGAGTTTGGATAGTTTGACGTGTATACAAATGTAAGAAGACATATGGTATGAACAAATGGAACTGACTTTTCCTTTTTGCTGCCACGAATTAGGCAAAGTATTCACAAAAGTAGGTTGATGAGTTTTTGTGATTCTTTTTTCGAATATGCTTTCATAATTTCATTAGAGAAACTTGAAAGGAACAAAGGCTGGATGCAATGCTAAATCTCAGGCCCGCAGAAGAGGTGTTATGATTCTTTTTACCATTGCATCATGCAACATATTGTTGGTACAGAAAGAAATTATAATCAGTACTCTTTTCACGATTTTGTAAAAGAGGGTGTTGATGTGATTTATGCATTAGTTTGTTAGAAATGATATAAATGGTTCAGAGACCATGTATTTGTCACAAAGGAACAACAATTTCATTTGTTACTTTTTGGTATCACACATATTCTTTGAAAATCAATGATAATTTTTTCAAATTTGTGCTACAATTTTTTTTTTTTTTTGTATAGTAACGCACCCGATATCCGAAATATTATCATCATTGACAAAATATCTCATCTTTCACCAAAAAAAAAATAAAAAATAAAAAATAAAAACAAACAAAATATATCATTTTCCCAAAGCCCAAGAACAAAATATCTCTTACATTCTAAAACTAGTCGTACTGATATTTTAGCAGGGCCGACAATTTTCCCTGAACTTGCACCTTTTCTTACACAACTAAGACATAGATAGAATTGGCAACTAGCACATTCAAACACCAGTTTGTCATACATGAGTTCCGGACAAGAACCACACCTTGAGTAATAACCGCCTTCTCGGACGAATTTTAGAGGATGTGGATGTGAACCAAATTCCAGAGTGCCACCAAAAATGCAGTTCCGGTACAAGACTTTAGGTATACAACGAGGGTGAAAAGATTGATCGCATTCCTTACAATGGTAATGCCACCTTCTAGGATGAATTTCTTCTTCGCAAATCTCGCAATAGAAATCGCCAGGACGATCACTGAAAGGAGGGATGCTCAGCTGAAGCGGATGTTTATCCCACCTATAATTGACAATCTCCGGAAGCGTGACACACTGGTAATCCAAATAGAAACGGCAATTAGGACAAGAGTAGAACAAACTTCCAGTTGGCTTGCCACAGGAAGAACATTTGCTGCTATAATCGGTACTCCTTTGATGATTTTGTAAAAGAGGGTGTTGGTGTGATTTATGCATCAGTTTGGTGGGCAATAAAGCATACTTAACATCCCAACGGCGTGGAACAAAATGGTGGTACTCGTACAAGTAGCCATTGCAATCCAAATCGCAAGCGAAACACTTGAACATTCCCCAAATGTAGACAAGAAGATGCAGCTTAGGGTCATGGTTTAGGTACTTCAACTTTTCTGGCAATTGAGCACAGGTAAAGTGGACGAAATAATTGCATTGTGGGCATTTACAGCAGTCGGAGATGATTGGTTCGGCGCATCGGTTGCACGCGATTTCTGCATTTATTTAAGCCAGGATCATTCTGCACATTCACAAGGATAATCTTATGTGCACAACGACTGCCATTCGTAATTTTGGGAACCGGTAGAATTTCCTTTCCTTGTTGTTTCTCTAACACATGTTTCATCGCTTTTACCAATCAACGATTAGTGCAAAAAATCGAAACATACACCAAACTTTGAGTATTAACTGCCATCATCTGAGTAAGAATGTCCAGAACTGCAAAGTTCATGAATCTGACTACTAACCAAAGTAGATAATCTTGCATAATCGATTAGAGGAAACTGTAAAATTGCAAATCAAATGGAAAAGAAACTTGCGGCGGTTTTCTGTATCTCGCTAAGCAATCAAGATGAACCATGTACCTACAAGGACCACAATAATAAACCCAATTCTGAAACGCAATCTTCCCGAAACAATATTCGCAGGGACTATCATATCTCCGAAACTCAATTGGAACACAATAGGACAGAGACAGAGGGTGATTGTGATCGTCCGTGTAGTTGATTCTTGGTAACAGGGCACACTTCAAATGGATCCATATTTGTCATATAACACAAACATAAGCTTGCCCTTTACTTTCTGACCCACGAGCATCACACCTGAAGATGGGAAGGTTTTTGCAGAAACATCAATGGATGTTCATGACCCGGATGATCCAATTTCGGATCCGGAAAAGTGCAGCAGATGTGGAGATCAAAATGCCAAGATATCCAAGAACAATGGTAGATGAAGCAACTATCACAGACTTGATAACATCCATCACAAAAGCACCGGTATTTATCTTTCAGGTAAGGCAGCTCTGCGAAAAGTTTGAGTTTATGATGAGGATGCAGGGGATGATCCTTGATGTCCAAAGGCAACTCTGCACATCTTTTGTGAAGGAAGAAATTTGCATTCCTCGCAGCTGAAAATGGGTTCCCCTGCTTTTGAATTTTTGTGGCTTTCTACAGCCATTGCATTATTTGGATGTCCCTGCTTCATCTTTCTTATCAGGATCATGAAGGGTTTCGGTAAGTTTCAGACAAAGGATGCTGTGGGTGGCTGAAATGAGGAACCTCCATCTCTGCTTTTTTTTTTTTAATCCTGTTCTTTTTGGTGGGGTTTTGGAATTTGGAGGAATTAGTTAATTGTTAATGACCCACCGGAATCACTTTTTAAAAAGAAAAAGACTTTAGCAATTTCAACTTTAAGAACGATGCTCTCTGGGTCATGTCTGCAAAAACAGTGTATTTTATTGAATTACTTCCTCTATCTCAAAATACTATATTGTGCAGTTTGAATTTTTATTTTTAAGTACACTTTATTGTAAAAGTAAAATCTCAAATTTAAATAAAATTTTTAGGTCGATAGAGTATAATAGTATAGAAAAAAAGTGAATTATTTTTCGAGTTATAGTTGATAGAAATTAAGGAGGAAACGGTTAAAATGTAAGACCACAGAGAAGAGCTAATAAAAATTTCTGACGAGAACTACTAGAGACATAAATCTGATTGTTTTCTTTTACTTTTGAGTTTTCGAAAATAAATATCTCATTTTTAGTAGACATAAACCTTAACATTTGTTTTATTGTCGAATTTTAGTATGGATTTTGGGTTAATAAAAAAAAGCCATACTCATGTCGAACATCGTAAACGTAGCAGTTTGCGATTAACTTTACATCGTATTTGGTGTTGTGTCACAAATTTGCTGAGCCTACTAAGGGACGATGGCTAAAAACTATCCATTGACATCGAAATGCATTTCATAAGCAACCCTAATCATAAGTAGTATTATGTTATTTAATTCCTCCAATTTTAATTATTCATTTTTTGCATAAAATAAATTGTTAAAATGATAGGATCCAAGAAAGCAATACCAACCTTAAGACTTGATAAAAATATATGAGAAACAAAGAACTATAAATTCCTTACCTTTCAAAGAAAAAGGAAGTAAATCCCTTTGCTGTAATATTTGTGGGGCGAAGCTTAACTCAACTCAAGGTTGAGCATGCACAATAATAAATATTGACATCTACCAACTCGAAAAGGAAAAAAACCTCTCAGACTAAAATCGAAATTGCATTCCCATACATACAGAAGTACACACACACACACACACATATTTACATATATATATATATGTACATATTACACACAAACATATTTACATATATACATATATATATATATATATACAATGTATGCATGTATGTATTAATAATTATACTTTTGCTCCTATTTTTTTTTACTATATCAACGGTGAATAACTTGCATATGAGGAAAAAAAATTACGAAGTGCGAAGCTGCTCATAAACTAGTTTGATATTCTTATATATTTGGAAAAAAAAGAAAAAAAAATTGCATTCAGGGTGAGGGGATGATCCTCTGCATCATTTGGATTCTTTTGCCTTCTTCTACTCTTGGAATAAATAAACTGCTAATCACGGTCTTTGGTTACGTAAAATTTATTTCTTAACTGTAACATAATTTATACTTATGGTAGACGATTTACTCTTTTTTCCTTCAACGTAACAAAGAATATGCATGTAAACTACCTATTTGTAGCGGACCCTCTGAATCAATGGGCACAATAATTTGTATTCTTGGGGATTTTGAGAATTATGGATTCTTTTGAAAGATTAAAAATGAAGAAATGAAATGTCTTGTCGCTAAATGCATATGTTCTTATTGAATACGAATTATGAAATATGTGAAGTAAATTGCAAAAACAGAAGTTTTTTTTTAAAATTATAATGTACCTTCCGAACAAAGACATTCTATTAGAGAAATGTATTTGTTTGGAGGAAATGGTCCCATTCCTGATCGCACATAACTTAAATTCGTGGAATCAGTTGATTATGTAATATACAATCGATTTTTCGTTTTGGTTTTGATAATAACAAACGGTTCGAGGTGGACCATAGTTTTATGAACTATTTTTTTTCTCTTTAGACATTCAATGTAAATTATGCAATTCGTACTAATAATCTTTAACGAGATATCAGTTATATACATATTATAATACGTTTGATTCTTTTGATTAAGTACACAAATCAATGAAAAATTGAAAGACTAGCTAACTTTTTTTTTGATTAAATTTAATTTTTAAGTTTAATCTGTCCATAAATTGTGATCTAAATTTATTGGTCATGATTTGTTTGTCAATAAACTCGGTCCATTATAATTCAAAAATATAGTCGGATAATAAATTTGGGTACCGATTCATATATCATGTACTAGCTAAAAAATTATACATCAACTACCTTGCAGACTTGACCCTTCGTAGTGAAAGAGCGGGCGTTCTCCTTTCGGAAAAAGGTTGATTATTGTCACTTATACTAGATGAAAATTTTACTTGTATCTGTACAATCCATTCATTATGAATCCAATTATATTATTTCATCTTATTAAAAAAAAAGAAAACACATTACAATGCAACCTAAGAATGTTGGTAGTCCTAATTACTCTAATATTGTATTAGGGCCGACAGTTTTGCCTGACCTAGCAGCTTTTTTTACACAATTCAGACATATATAGAATCGGCAAGTAGCACATTCAAACACCCTTTTATCATACATGAGTTCCCGACAAGAATCACACCTTGAATGATAACCACCTTCCCGGATGAATTTCAGAGGATGCGGATGTGAACCCATTTCAAGAGTGCCACCGAAAGTACAGTTCCGGTACAGGACTTTAGGTATACAACGAGGATGAAAAGATTGATCGCATTCTTTACAATGGTAGTGCCACCTCCTCGGATGAATTTCTTCTTCGCAGATCTCGCAATAGAATTCGCCGGGTCGATCACTGAAAGGAGGAATACTTAGCTGAAGCGGATGCTTATCCCACCTGTGATTTACGCTCTCCGGCAGCGTGACACAATCATAATCCAAATAGAAACGACAGTCAGAACAAGAGAAAAACAAACTCGAGATGGGCTTGCCACATGAAGAACATGTGCTACCAAAATGAGAAGTACTCTGTCCCTGATTTTGTAAAAGTGGGTGATGGTGTGCTTTGTGGATCAATTTGTTTGGCATTAAAGCACATTTTACATCAAAACGGTACGGCACACAAGTTTGGCACTGGTACAAGTAGCCATTGCAATCCAATTTGCAAGCGTAACACTCAAACATACCCCACACATATATCAAAAGAAACAATTTAGGATCATGGCGCGGGTAGTTCAACTTTTCAGGCAATTGAGCACAGGTCAAGTGGATGAAGTAATTGCATTGTGAACATTTACAGCACTCAGAGACGATTGGGTCGGCGCATCGATGGCATGTGATTTCTGCATCTTTCGAGCTCGGATCATTCTTCACATTCGCGAGAATTAGCCGATGTGCGCAGCGCATGACGTACACAAATTTGGGAATTTTTAGGATTTCCTTCCCCTGTTGTTTCTGCAAAACATGTTTGATTACTTCTACCATGTCGCGTGTTGGCATCTTCACCAAATCTTTCTCTTTATCACCATCTTTACCAAGGTTGGACGTTCCTTCTCTGTTAATAATGATGGAACTTACTCAATTTGAGCATACAAATTAATACAGAAACTAAAATTATTAACAGAGGAATTCCCAAAGTTTTTCTATTAGTTTTAAACGTATGGAAAGCATCTGCTGATAATTTGCTAAATAATTTCCTGAACTCACAAGTTAATGTGAAAAGCAAACTTCAAGTCAATGAAATAGAAACTTACGGTGGTTTTCTGCATCTCCCCAAGCAATCAAGATGAAGAATGTACCTACAAGGGCCACAGTAATAAACCCAGTTCTTAGATGGTATTTTCCCGAAGCAATAATCACAGGGAATTTCGTATTTCCTCAAATCATTAGGAACACAATAGGACAGAGTAAGAGGGTGATTATGGTCGTGTCCATGGGCGATGCTTGGTAATTGTGCACAACTCATGTGGATCCATATTTGGCATATAACACAAACATAAGCTTGCCCTTTACTTTCTGACCCACAAGCATCACAGCAGAATATGGAAGGTTTTTTCAGAAATATCAATGGATGTTCATGACCCGGATGATCCAATTTCGGATCCGGAAAAGCGCAGGAGATGTGCAGATCAAAATTGCAAGATGTCCAAGAACAATGGTAGATGAAGCTATCAGTTTCACATACTTGGTAACATCCATCACAAAAGCAGCGCGGACCGTCTTTCGGATATGGCGGCTCTGCAAGAAGTTTGAGCCTATGATGAGGATGCAGGGGATGCTCTGTAATCTCCACCGGCAGCTCTGCACATCTTTTATGAAGGTAGAATTGGCATTCTTCACAGCTGAAAATGGGTTCCCCTTCTTTTGAATGTATTGGTTTCGGACAGCCATTGCACAATTTGGAAGTCCCAGCTTCATCATGATGGGCTTCAGTAAGTTTCAAGGGATGCTGCGGGTGGCTGAAATGATGCAGTTCCTCCATTTCTGCTTTTGTTGAATGCAAAATTGCGGTAAATACTCTGTTTTTGGGTGGGTTGAAGACTTTGTTTATTGTTAATGACCACCAGCATAATAGCTTTATTAAAGGCTTAACAATCTCAACTTTAAGGATTAAAAAATGTTTTATGGGTACCTTAATTGTGAGATGTTGGAAACTAAAGTAGAGTACTTGATTTCTTAATTTGGGGGGGGGGAAGAAAAGTTCGAAATGCAAAGGAACAATGGACAAGCATGGCATCATCAAAAGAAGAGGACTAATAAATAATTTGATCGTTGAAATTAACATACATGACTGCAGATCGGATTTGTTGACTCGAAACTCCATGGTCATGTTGATCAGATCAATTTTGTTTTTTGAGTAAACGAACTTAATTAGGATATATATTAAGGGAGAGAGGTCCGCAGAAATGAATTCAGGATAGTTAGAACATCAATAGTTTTTAGGAACACGTGCCGCCTCCACGTTTAAGTTTCATTAAACAGTTAAACTAATTTGGTAATTTCATTAATCCAAAGTTTACTATTTTTATGTTTTACCTTATTTGTTTCCGAAAAACATAAATAATGTGATCATTATCTTCTCTAATACGTTTTAAAATTTGAAATATTTAAATTTGGAAGATATATATCAAAATCAAATCTTCCAACTCTCTAATCTTCTCTGATAGATTCATTTAATCTTCTCTAATACGCTTCTCTCTTCTATAAATAAGATGAATGTAAAATCATTCACTAAAGTAGATCTTTTTCTTCTGGCTCTCAAATTCTCTCCTCTGCCGCTTACGTCACCCCGCTACCGCCATCCCCACCGCCATTCCGTAGCGGCACCCCGCTACCGCCATCCCCACCGCTATTCCGCTATTAGTGACGTCTTCTGCCGTCGTTGCCGCCGCTACTGTCATGCCCCTTGTCGTTGCCGTCGCCATTATCAGAGGTAATAAGCCTGATATCTTACTCCCTTTTCTTCTCTTGTATTTATTTTTCCTTTCTGTTTGAATAAAAACTTTCAAATCACGGCATATATAGGCCAAGTTCAACTATTGCAGTGATTGATTTGGTTTGAATGATTTGCAACTACACCAATTATGTTTGTTATGGAGGGCAAAGATTATTAATTAATCTTTATTTTGTTGTCTCTTGAGTTGATAATGTACAGCGGCGCTATCGACCATGTCACTTTTCCGATTTTGTTTATCAATAACAAAAAGGACACTTCTTAAATAGTTTTATTTTTTCTCTTTGGTTTTTGTTCTCGAATCATTAAAAGGAATATGGATTTATATTCTAAATTCAATGTCAAAATTTCAGGTTTGTGGAACTCATAACGCGGGATTAGGGCTCGATGGCAACGACTCCTTTTGGTTGAAAAGTGCAGAGATAGTGAACTTACTTTTATTTTTTATTTTAATTTAATTACAACAATTAATGTAAGTATTTTACTTAGTTACTGACTAAATAATCAAACTAGATCTCCCTCTTTTTTTTTTCAGCGATCATGTGAGATGGATGAGCGGCAGCTTACTTCAAAACTCTCTTACACAATCAAATCTATTCTTTTTCTTCATGAGCCGCCGAGGAGGGAAGACTAAGCGGCTGCCGATCATGAAACCCTATATGTTAAATGATCTGAGACCTTGCCGTAGATAATAACTGTACGTTCTCTTGACGGAGGAGGAAGATGATCGATTTGCAGCCTTTTTCGCCATGCTTTGGTCTAAAAGTTTTGAACAACCCGCAAATGGAGTTTTTTTTTTTTTGTGCAGAACTGTTTTTTTTGTGATTTCTTTTTTTTTTTTGTTGCAAAAATTAAAGTTCCATGATCATTTACAACAAAAATTAATTATAATGCAAATAATTTCCAAAATGAAAATATGAACACACTTTCTCTACTACTTTAAGATATCCACAACCAATCCGCCAAAAATGTTAGTCCAAATTTTACTATTTTAGTTTTTTATCTTATTTATTCCAGAAGAAAATGTGACATCATTATCGGCTAAGTTTAAAAATCGTGCCCCCCTTTCACGCGGCTATCATGGTAATCAATTAGCCGATTTTGTGGTTTTTAAATTTTGAAATTCTTTATAAATAAAGAAAGTATATAACCAAATCAAATATGATTTCTATCATTGTTGATTAACGTGTTAATTTAAATCAAAGTTACCATTAATTATTTCAAATCATAAACTCCCTATGATTGTAGGATTCCTTGAAACCCTAAAACCTCCTCGATGTCTCCTATAAATTGAGCGGCCTTCTATCAAATCAAATCACACACAACTCACACAAAATAGTCCCCTATTCGCTTCTTCTATAGCTTGATGGCAGGGAGAATTAATTCGGTTGATCAGCTCAATGGTTCCACTGGCTATGGGTGGAACATTCGCGACTGGATTTGTCGGGTTGGGATATGCCCACTTGGGACAATCAAGATCAAGTAGAGTTTCGTGAGAAGCTCTTGATGGATGAAACTTTGAGTCATATTTATGTTTTCAATTTATTCTATTTTTATTATTCAGTGCCAAACAATATTTGTGCGATGCTCCTTCCTTAAAGTACAACCTACTCGATACTCACACCTTGATTCTTGTTTTTTCTTCCGTGCATATTTTTGTTTGGTTTGCTCATCAATTTTAATTTTATTTTTTTTTTGTTTTATTTTTCCTTATCAATTTGTAGGAAAGAAGAAAGGACGTGCTGGACATATTTTGCTTAAGGGTTTCCGGCTTTGCTGATCCTGTTCCTGTTTGGTGAATGTACGTTGTTCATCTACATCTCCGGATAGTGCATAATATTGTAGTTTCAAGATCACTGCTTCTCCATTGAATTGATGGCTTCTTTTTGTCTTTTTGAGGGTCATGATGTTTTTTTTTTAAGAAAAAATTACTACGAGGAATGTTACAATTTTTAAATTTCTTTTCTACTACGACGTACCTAATCAATTAACAAAATTTCTTAAATTACCACAGTCAACAACATTATTTCTTCGTGATATTTTCTATATACCAAGATGCTTGGGATAACTTTCAGAAGGTGACGGTTGAAGCATCGATTCAAAAGCTTGAGGTTTGATTATCTTCCACGTACTTCTTTTCCCATTATTTCTTTCCATGTTCTTTGTGTTTGGTGGTTCGAATTAATGTATGTTTGTGACTAAGGTTTTTTACGCTGCCGTAGGGATTTCCAAGACTACCTACCATACTTTGTTTGGTGATGAGTTTGATGAATGCAAAGTCAATATATGGAAGATGAAATCGACAATTCTTCAGCCGCTTTTGTGAAAAGAACCTCTCTTAGTATCCACCACAAGCTTAAATCAAGGCTTGGTTGATGATGAAATGGATTCAGCCATGGATGTTCTCTTAGGTTTTTCATATGTTCAAAGACTTTTCTAAATTTGGGGGTTGAGGAAACTGTCTTCCATGTTCTTTTTTCACGGTTTTACACCATATTCAATTGGCCAGGGTTTGTTTTATACTCCCTCCCTCTCATAATTATTGTCCAATTTTACTAAAATGAAAGATTTTATTTTTATTCAAACTTAACTATATTTTACCTTGAACAATCGGGTATACCCTACATACCCTACATAAGTAATTGTTTAACCACAAAGATTTTAATGGATAATATTTTTTTACTAAGGAAAAATGTGTAACTTTGATCCATAAAAAGTCAAATTGGACAATAATTTTGGAACAAAATTTTTTGGGCAAAGTGGACAATAATTATGGGACGGAGAGAGTATATTTTACCATTTTAGAGTAGTTTATTATTAGTTTGATTGAAATACTTCTTCGTTTTGTATTTTATATGCTTTAGTAAATTCGTTGATCGGAAATTTACTTTTTAAAATTTTTACTCTTATTTCAAAAAAATAATAAATAATATAATCATTATCAGCTAAACCCTAATTCCATGCCCCACTTCCGCACAGCTGACATGATCAATTAGCATATTTTGTGGTGTTTTAAAATTTGAAAAATATATATTAGAATCAAATCTTTCAAATTCATAATCTAATACGTTACAATTAATCTTCCTAATCAAATATGATATCAGTTAATAACATATAAAATACCATATTAATTAATTTTATGCATATCTTCTCTAATATGACTCTCTTCCACCATACTTTAAGATAAATGTAAAATTATTTACTAAAGTAAATCAATTGAGCAACCGACTTCAAGGGTGCCGCTACTTCTATTATCCACCAGAATAGCCATTGAAGCGGCCACATTTGATTGCCTAACAAGAATATTCGCCACCTCAATCTTATGGGTATAAGAATATATTATTCTGTTGTATGTGCCCGTGTAGATGAAAGTGAAGAATTATATAGAAGAAGAGAACAGAGGGAAAATATGAAGACAGTAATTAAGTTGATATATTGAGGGAGAGTTCATGTGCATTGAGTTATTATTGTCAGGAACATAAAAAAGAAGGAGTTGGTTATAGACACCATAAGGTAGATGACTATATAGTAACCAAAATAAGGCAGATGTGATTTTTATGCTACGAAATCTACACTAACTAGGGTTATCATGCAATCTATTTAAAATATGATGCATAAAATTTTCCTGTTTATTGGATGATTGTGGAAAATTATTTCGCAATTATAGTAATTTCTTTTATTTACTCATATATAAAATCAACAGTAACTTTAGATTGGTAAAAATGGTTAACTTAATCAACAACTTAAGTGGTCATTATTTATTTTAAAATTAAAGATTAATTTTGAGAAAGTCTCCTGTGCGTATTTCTATAATTAAAAAAAATAATTAATACGAATATCTTATTATAATTAAAGCTTTTTGAATATTACTGATAAATTTTAATAGAGAATTTCAAAATGAAAATCTTACCCATTAATGAAATTAATTTTATTTATGAATGTAAAACCTTATGAACATGTAAAATTTTATAATTATTTATCATTAAATAATAGAAAGAAGATACATATACCAAAAAATTAATCCAGAA